GGACTGATTAACCTTTCTTGAAACATTGTTCGTCTTAACTAATTTTTTATAATATTCTTTTCCGTTTAAAGAAGGAGCATTCGCCATTACAGTTAGTTACCATCATGTTTAAAATGATTCTCAATGCAATTTCTACATTTGGAAATGTGTCTCCAACTCGATTTTTTATCAAAACTTCTGGAATACTATTAGTTTGCGAAATACAGACGTTCTATTTCTAACTCTTTCTCGTTAACATCTTCATAGCTGCAAAATCTTTGCAACTTTGTCTCGGGATTTGGAGTTTTCAAGCGAAAAACAATGTCAACAGTAACCAATGTCCTTGCACAAACTCAATCGCTGTTTTAAATGCACGCTTGGGGTATCACTTATAGGAAGTAAGGTATTTCTACTTTAATATTTCTTCCCAACTCAGTTGGACTATCGGTGCAGAGTCCTAAAAATGTCTGGCGCGAACTTCTTAGTCTTATTCTTTGAAACAAGTCCTTGTAGTCAGATTCTGTATTTTTCTCGTTGGAGGGCGATTCGAAGCAATAAAATTTCAGAATATATAAATGTTTGAAGAGTCACCTACATTAGGTATGCTCGCGTTTATAGCATGCAAAAGCGATTATACAAGTAAATATTCTAATTAATTTTCTTAAAATAATCATCGGCTCTTGGTTGGCGGATGGATCCGGCAGGAACTATATAGGGGGCCTCTGTTGATCGTGGGGCCCTGGGCACTTGCCCAGAGTGCCCAATGGAAAAAAAGGGCCTGAATAGCATTATTTATTCCCATCGAAAATATTAGTATGAACTGGACCAAGTGTCTAACGGCTATGTAAAAGCCTTTGGATGTTAAACATAATTCAACTATTAATTTTAAATAAAGCAGTGTGAAAGAATTTATATTTTTCAGAATTTCTATGACATTATTAGTTACTAATAGTGGATTAATATGCAATATTAATTTGAAATCATTTTTTCGATTTAAATTTTACCCACTACAAACTACCTCAAATTAATGAGGAAACCGTCGTGGTTGCTGTTGTCACCTCTCATAGTTTAGTGGTCAGAACATTGGTGCGTAAAGCCAAAGGTCCCGGGTTCGATACCCAGCGGGGGTGTGACAACAGCAACAATTTTTCCCTTATTAATTTGAGGTAGTTTGTAATGGGTAAAATTTGAATCGAAAAAATAATTTCAAATTAATATTTTTCGGAATTGTTGTTGAAGAGTAATATGTTTATTTACGTTTTTAATAATGTGCGATATCCTCAATGAGAAACGGAGCGAGCACACTAGCAATTTTTCGGTTTTATTCCTATTTTTTATGTTTTGGAACAAGATATATGGTATGAATTCATCGTATGTTTGCTATTTTCCTCTGTCCGAACATTAACACGAAAAATCGTTAGGACAGGCGCCATCATATTAGAAATTGGTCGTGACAGCCACTAACAGCAGCAATCGAGACAGTTTTGTCAACCACCACAACACGGTATGGTAGTCGTTTCAGATCTTTTCCGATGTGAACTTCGGCGGACAGCTGTCAGGAGCAAAGCAAACGTTAGGCGGTGACCGGAAACTTGAAGAAAGTACGCCGCGCTCACTTACATCACTGCACTTGCTACGTATAAAATCGTTTATTCGTTCGTTGTATTGTTCATGAAGTAAATTGCTTCTTAAATACATGTAAGAGATTCGTTACCCAACTAGAATTTTGAGGAGCGTGCAGGTAGGTCCCTAGGTGGGTAGCCACATTACCTCTTCTGAGCCCCCTAGGACAATGAAGGGGGATATAATGTCTTACCGCTTTTATGCATCATGCTGAATGCCGCATGTGGTCCCCGCGGGGAAAAAGGATTGCTATCCCATTAAAAATTTTTAGAAAAATGAACTTTATTATTAATGAAAGAAGTACAAAATTGAATGAGAAAAAAAAGTTTTTNAGTAATATTGTGTTGTTGGGCCGTTTTGTAATCAATAATACTTTAAATTGCAATCGTTTTACTGTTATTCGACCGGATGCGGCTGCTTTCAGTTGTCTTATAATAACAAAATCAGGAAATACACTTGTTGGTTCGTTGCAAATGTAAAAGATTTCATTAAAACAACGACATAATTGGGCAAGGGGATTGTTACCATTTTTTATAAGTTTTTTTTTTACCGGGAGTATTTTCAAGCGGATTTGTCTCGAGCCCCCATACGGCAGATTTAATTGTAAGTTTATAAATGCGATAGGTTTCCCCTTTAAGACCCATATGAAAAGCACATAAGGCAATCTTCATTGTGGTATCGCCACTTTTTTTGATGGAATGTTCATGAGGAATCTACGGGGAAATCCCTATATTGGTATGCCTCTCATTAGTCACATGAGGTCCACACACTACATGGGACATGCCCCCTGTAAAATCTAGTCGGGTAAATATCTCTCTGACTAATCCATTCGACGAGCTTTACACGTAGAAGACCCATGTGGAATCTTTATTGTAGCAATACTATCCACCCATCTGTTATTATAGATTTCTAGTCTATAAAAGAAAACAAATAGAAACTTAAAATTCACACATGACCACTCACAGTGTCTCAGCTGTAAAACAACAATGCTGTTTCAAATTACGCACAATTTAATTATTACTGAGCATCACTTCCACGTCAAACGGTTGTAAAAAATTTTAAAATTATTAGTTTTCTAAGCCTGTGTCAAATGTGTTTGCTGTTAGAATTTATAATTAAATCGGAGGAAGTTTTGTCCACACAAGTCATCATCATCATTTAGGTGGTGTCCTACCAGCTACCCCTCTTAACTCCCGTTTCTGTCTCTAATATGTCTCTGACTAGACCTTCATGCCTGAGACTCCTCTGTTCTCATATTCTTTCTAATACTTCTTCAATACTTCTAGTGGCGCCGAGAAATGATTGAGTTTGCAAGCGCTCTAATAACAATTAAAATGAATCAATGGCAGTCCGCAGGATGCATTTAGGAATTGTACAAAAAATTATTACGTCTAAACACTGTGCACCCATTTGATAGGACGTGGACAACAAAAAGTACAGGTCGGACGAAGGAAGCTGGCGAGCGGTCACGCAGGCACTTGCCCATTTATGACCTATTTGAGTATGTCATTTGGAACCGATACACAAATTATTAGCGTACTAGAAAATAATGTAGAAACATAACTTACCAAAAAGAAAAAATAAACCTATTGCTTTTGTTTTATAGTTAGTTTTCACATTCACTGTCATCATAGGAATCTCTATCACTGTCACCAACACCAACAATTAGTTCTTCTGTTTGTCTGTCTATTACTTGCTCACCGATCCCTATTTTTAAATATTTAATCTACACCCCTGATAGGAATACTGAAGAAAGAGGGCTGCAATCCTTATACTTAAAACTGCCTACTTTTGCCACCGCGCATCCACGCCATTTTAAAATTTCCGCCAGCTTCCAGCGTCAGGCCTGTACCAACAATTTTTCTAGATGTCCTTAGATTACATCACGAGAATGGTAAGCCGGGAAGATTTTATACACAATTCGCGAAGTAACTAATGGTAGTAGTTTAATTTACTACCCGGCATTGCAATCATATAAAGTCAGAGGTGAACGATTGAAGGACGTTCTCATCCATCCAGCGGGATGATATACATCGGCGGGCATGAGTACTTCTGCTAGGCCAATTCGTCTGTACAAAAGTACTCCACCAGAAGCGCTTCCAGTAGGACAACCCTTTGCTATCTCAAAATAAAGAGAGAGATAGGGGATGCCTTTTTATTTTTCGGTTTTTGCTATTTAGAAACCCATTTCTGTTGAGGTTATATACTCTATAAGCGGGCTAATGTTGATGTTATGGTAAAAAAAAGAACAAGTGACAACCACAATGACAATAAGAATTATTGTAATATAACTCTCGATTTTCTTTGTTGTTGTCGTTCTTGGCCGACATAGATATATGAATAGTTCAGTAATTGAAGTATTTATTAGGCCTCTCCTACGGAACTAAAAGAGTAATAAATGACAAATTGTCTGTTGAAGCGGCTGTTAAAGTTAGAACTCCGTTATTAACTACAATTCTGAATGATTGGTAGGTATGAGGTGACGGTTAAAATTTATTTTTTTTTTGTGTAATTATGTAAGTAAGTTATCCATGCAGTGTAGTTTTGTAATTATTTCGTATTATATGCACACAATATCATTTTCGTGCTTACGCGATTATTTATAATATATTATTGTTATTATTATTTACATGAATGACGCTCCTCATCGTCGTATATGTAAATACTTAGACAATTTCTATAACCATTGAGGAAATAATTAAAGAAAAAAACTGTTACAATTACAGATGAAAGCTTATTGCTTGTAGCACATACCTATACTGTATAACTAGCTGATTCCTCGGACTTCGCCCGCGCAAATGGTGCGCGGCTATTGTGTATGGTTAATGTAAACCAGCGGTACTACGAATAAGACGGGCGTTATATTTTTATTTAAACTAATGGAACAAGAGAAAACAAGTCTTTTGTATTCCAGGTTTTATTGAATTATTAGGAATTGAAATTAAAAATATGAAATTAGCGATTCAACCTCCAATAATTGAATAACCCTCAATCGAGAAGTACTTATTAAGTTAATCAATTATTTATTTAACATTATTTGCTTCTTCAGGCTTTTCTTTAAAACTGATGTTAGAGGATTTTATAGATAGTTATTAAATTTCCGTTTATATCAAACAAAAACTAAATATTAAATCACTTATCGTTATCTTTTCTTTTACCTTTCATGATGTTATGTTTATCGAATAAGCTTGTTCTCGGTTTTATTGTTATTCATTGAAAGAAACGTACCTATATGTCTCGAATTGGTACGTACATTTCACACAATGTTTTTCAAATGTTATCGTGACCATAAATAAATAACACTGTTTATTGTTGACAATTTTTTGCTTTACACCATCATCCATTGTTAACGTTCTAACAAGAAACATTCAATTTCATAGGTGCATTCATATGAACGAATTAGTATAAAAAAGGTAAATTATTATTAATGTTTCTACATATAAGTACACACGCTTACCTCTATCGTTGACATGGAAACACATATTGTACGTATATATAAAACGTTGATTGTGGACATACTAACAATAGTGCGTAACTAGTTTTCAACAACATGAGTTCTTCGTTGGTAGTTCCGCTGCTTATTGTCGGGTTTGCTGTTGCAAACTCTTTTTCTGGTATGTATTGTTTTTATTATTTTTATTTTGTATAACTTTTTTAAAAACATAAATTATTAAACAATCACATTAATGATACAAAAAATATGATCATTCCTGTGTGATTTAAATTTCTTTTGGATTTTTTTTTCTGTAATGTTACCATACGAATTAATTAATTAATTAATTTTCCCCAAATATTGTTTGATGTTTTCTAACTATTCATTTAAAATAATAAAAGAATTGGTATCCCTACAGCATGAACTAAACAATAGTATTAATGCAAAATAATTTATCATCATAACTTCAGTCCACCTCTCCTCTTTTCTATCTTGAGTTAATCTTCGCATTTTTCTTAAACTAGAACATCCCACATTTGTGAGCAGTTATCTAAAATAGGTCTACTTCTACCCCTATTAACTCCTGTTTGTGCTTCTAATATATCTCTGACTGGACCTTCATGCCTGAGAATCATCTCGCTTATTTCTCCTGCCTTTTCTAATACCTCCTCATTTCTAACTTTCTCTATTCATAGTATGCTCATCATTTGCCTGAAGCACCACATTTTGAACGTCTTTAACCTTTTCTTTTTTGCCGCGTCCACCGTCGACGTTTCGCACCCGTTCAAAATCGTGTTCTAGACCTATACCTTTAACAATCTCTTTCTAATTTCTAAATTAACCGTAATATCATAATTATTAGTTGTTTATTTCAATCGTAATTGCTTTAATTAAAAAAGTGCCCCATCATTAACAAATTAGTACATTATTTTGCGAATTTTTAGCCGTGGGAACGTAAATATTAAATGCATTCGATAAATACAACCGAATTGATAATAAATAATGAAAGCTGTTTTTATTGGTAATGTTTATGTCAAAAAGCAACCGATATCGGGGCAGCATCAATTAATATAATTTGAAAACGATCAAATTCATTTGCAAATTACGTTCAAACTGATATTGGATGAAGTCAATAATTAAAACGTGTTTCAAAATAATAATGCTTACAATAAATTCCCGAATATATCGCCAAAATAATGTTTTAATATTAAAAATGAATTAGTCTACTGTTTGTCACAGATATACCAGTTGGTAGTTTTCCTTATAACAGAAAATGAAATTAGTAACAACGGTTAATCACAAATTATTACATATAATACACAGTACCTAACTCCATTTAATCTCATCTATTATATTATCATCAAATCTAATTGAGTTCCAATATCCTTTTCTTAAAAGACAGTCTAAACCTCTAAAACCTACAAAAAATATGAAAAAAAAATTGCTTTGTTCAGAGAACAGGCACCGTGCACCTATTTTTGAGGTATGCTGCGAATTTGAACCGTTTATGGCTGCCCCAGAAGACGAAAAAATGAAAGAATGTATAAGTGAAATTTTGGGCGATCCAAAAAGTATGAATCACAGCAATCCGCCAACCGATCAAGAATTGGAAGAACTGGCAGAAAAAATTGCTGTAAGTGTATTTCTACATTTCCGATGTATTTGTAAAGTATTTCTCCTTGGCTATTTCAAACACCTCCTTGACTATTTTTGATAGTCCTTTTATTTTCTTTTTGCACACAATCTGGTAGTAACTGTTACGAGCTCCTACAAATATATCTCGTCTATTGCATATTGACTATTTGTAACTGATAAAGCAAATTTATTCTTTCAGTGTATTGAAGAGTGTACTGCTAAAAAATACGAATTGGTAAGTAAAATTGATAATTATTATATATATCGGCTAAAATTGTATCAATAAAAACAAAAAAAATGGTAAACAAACCAATTTAAAAAAAATTATCCGTATGTTTTGTGATATGCTTTAAATTCTGAACGGTATATTTGTAGTTAGACAGTGATGGAAATATTGTGTTAGCCAAATTACTTGAAGTCGCGCAAGGCAAAATAAATGGAACATTTATGGAAAATCATATCGAAGAAGCAGCTAAGAAGTGCATTGAAGATATCGAAAAAGAAATTCCGAAAGAATCCAAGTGTAATCCAAAGCCCCTGTTTCTATCTAATTGTCTCTTCTTCAGATCTCTTGAGAATTGTCCAGCAGATCAAGTGAAAGACAAAGCTAAATGTGAGACTATGATTGATGAGATTAAGAATGGAAAATTTCCACACCACTTTGATCCACCACCTCCAGAAAATTAAATCAATCCCGAATTTAAAATTATACCCTATTTACTTAATAAAAATGTTATAGTATGTAAATTTCAAATACAGTACACTTAAAAATAAAATGCAATAGCAATTAATTAATTATTTAACGCAATTATTTCTTAAAAATGAGATGACGTAAATCGAATGATAACGAGAACCTTTGGAGGAGTTTGATGCACGTATTGTTTAAATATGTGGTTACAAATAAGGGTGTCATTCAGTCAATGGAGCTTCGTTGCTTTTTTGTTTATCACTACATAGTATAAAACAAAGTCGCTTTCCCGCTGTCTGTCCCTATGTATGCTTAAATCTTTAAAACTGCGCAACGGATTTTGATGCGTTTTTTTTTTAAAGATAGAGTGATTCAAGAGGAAGGTTTATATGTATAATACATGCATAATATAGTAAGGAAACACTAATAATTTTAGAGGTTTCTAATGTGAAGTTGTAAATAAACACATTTTTTGCGCTTACATTGCAAACGCTGGCTGAACCCTACGAGATAGATCAAAATAGTATACTACAGTATTTTACACCTTAAAAAGATCTACAAAAAAGTCTGTGATGGATGGTATATGTCTATCTCTTAGGGAAAACCTACAATAACCATTTTTTAATCCTTTACTTTTTACGCGAAATAATGGCTTATTTACGAAGCGATTTTAAGCAATACAGCATTTATCCTTATCCAATTAAGTACTTTTATATACATTGTGCATTTAATATAGATCAATATGGCCCTTTACAGCATGTAATATAAATGAATATTTTCGAAGATATTATAGATTTAAAATGCAGGGACATAACGGTTGCAGCGGTACCGGCCGGTTTGTATTGTCCAATGACAAAAAACTATGAATGTTGTATATAAAGACATTCTGTAGTATATTTAGTATGTTCAGGGGGTGTCTTTTGAAGATTTTCCCTCCTCAATAATAATCTAAACATAACAAAAATACATTTAGTATCAGCATTGCACCCGTGCGAAGCGTAAAATAAATGCAAAAACAAACACACAACTGATTTGAATCCTAAGACAAAATAGATTGCTCTAAATTTTGTAAAGTTTCATTATTATGTAGGCAATCGACGAAAGAATGGCTAGAACGAACCCAGTCGAGATTAACAAGACATACATTCTCTATACCATTGTCAAGATTAGGTACCTGTCCATTTTTCAAGTCTAACCTTCAAACTATTTAAATAAAAGTAATGATAATACGTATAATAATTATAATAAAATCATCATTATCATAAGGTCGTCAGTCCTAAGAGTGGTTGGACGCGCACCTCCACTCTTTCCTATCCTGAGCTAATCTTTGCATTTCATCAAAACTGGAAACGACGACGCTACATTACGATTAAGGATATAAAGACGGCATCGCAGGAGGAGCTGAACAAGATCACAAAAAATAATTTTTTTGAAGTGCTTCGAGGCATGAAAAAAACGTTGGCACAAGTGTATAATATCTGGTGGGGATTACATTGAGGGGGTCAAAATAGATATTCATGAATAAATAAATAATTTTTGAAAACATACAAAATTCGCGATACTTTTTGAACAGGCCTCGTATATGTACATACATTCTAATTTGTAATATATTGGTTATAGAATTATAGAAAATATAAGTGCTATGCATCATCGGTAACGGTACCCCATCCAAATTTTAATTCCTATAATAAAATGATATTAACGTTAGTAATTAAACTGTAACAAATGGTAAACCGCGTTGAACCGTTATTTGCGACTACTGCAAATGACATTTATTTTCAGTAATAAAGAAGGTTCATTATGAATAATATAGCTGCGTTTAGTGTATGACAGAAATTTTCATCCAACAAACTTTGTACCTACTACAGCTCAGGTCTCTGGAGACAGTTAGGATCTATTATTGCAACCGAGTAAAATTAACAAAGTTTGCCAACTAATTAAGAAACTAAACCAAGGTCCATGAGAATGCCACTAAAACGCCCAAGGCCTGGATCTGATGGGCTATGTAATGCGACGGTGAATACTAGACTGAGCACATGTCTGGACCGTTGTTCAACGCTGATACAACGATGAGAAACGATTAAAACTCCCCTAACGATTGTGAGGATTACAGTTATACGAGATATTCCACCATTTTGAAAATATTTATCCACCATTTATTGTATTAAATGTAAAAACAAAAGGTGAAGTAACATTCAGAAGTGAGTTCGTATAAATGGATATGTATCAACACAACTGCTAAAAAATTGTTATGGACCATTCTAATTTCAGTTTATATTTTCAAAATTTCGAATATTCTTTAAATAATAATTGCATTTATCAAAATTTTGTTTGGAATATTCATTGCCCAATTGTTATCAAAATTATTGTTTCGGACATTCTTTGTTTGAATTATTTTAAGTAATATTTGTACACGAATGTGAAAATTCAATATTGATTGTCATGACACATTGATAAAAAAAGAAATGGAAGAGTTGTTGGGGTCGATGGCGTTCCGAACTTTGGTCTCTTACTTAATATTATCATTATTATATAGGGTAGTGTTAAGTTAGAAGACAGAAAAGTCATATTCATACAAGTATTCGGTTCGATAGGTTAGTTTATATATATACATCTGTAGAAGTTAATAGTTAATTGTATCCCGTCGTTATTATTATAAATAAAACTAAACTGAAATAAAAAACGAAAAGAAAATATAAAAACTTAAAGTAATCAACCGAGAAACCCTAGTGAAACCCTACATCACCACATTAGGATAAGGACACAACAAAATTGCTTAATTATATTGTAAATAATAATTTCACGAGGTAAATGTTATATCTATATTCTAATTCTTGAGCGTATACTAATGTTCTCAACCATATTCCTAAGTTATTGTATGATTTTAGGCATTCTATTTTTAGCAAGTACTTCTAAACATGGTTGTACTTCTTTCACTCTTTTAACTGGATTGGAAGGCATACCGAAAGTTTCAGTTTGGGAAGCCTCCATACGTAAAGTGGATTTGAAAATTTTTAAAAAACTAGCATTAAACTGTTGGTTTTTGGAATTGATTTTCAGACTATTTTCATCATAAAGTTAATAACATTATCTATGTACATTCTTTCAAGTTATGTTAAAAAAATGGCTGTGAAGCTTCATGATAAATCAACACTTGGTTTTGATTTCACCAGCTTTTATTGACTAAGTGTTGATTCTGTATTTATCCTAAATTACTCACTGTTAATTGGTTTAATTAAAAGCCAAACGGCTTGTAAAGTAGATATGGGTTACATACTGAACTAAAAAGTAGGTCTATTATTAATTGAATGAGTGTTTTGCCTGATGTTTTATTACGTAAAGAAAAATAAAGGAAAAATCATATAAAGAAAAAAAGCTTTATTAAACTTTTACTCCGTTTACATTCGTAACTACAATATTTCTGTTTAACATTATGATAAATATACAAATTCCAATAACAATTTTATTTTGCTGCTCTAAGTAGGGCTTAATTAAAAGATAATAATGGTATCGACCTTTTAAACTTTTATCTCTGAAACGGAAAAAAGTACTGGAAAGGACAATTCCGGGGTTGCAAAATACAAGATTGGGGATCTGGGATGGCAACTACCACCGCCTTCAAATTACGCCACTACTTCTAAAAGTAAATAAATATTCGGATTATTTTTTCCAATTTGTCTGTCGAGATTTTGATCCAAAGCAATTGCAAACTTCTACAGGTAATAATGCATCATTTTCATCTTACTTTTACTTACTTGCATGTTCTCTGCATTAACCTTAACATGAGAACTTGCTATAGTTACTTACATGTGGAATGATTGCCTCTATAAAGGGATTGCATTCTCCACGGAGGGTGGAATAACATTTACATATCACCTGATACTAATTAGGATGCTTGAAACAAAGTTAGCATGAATCCCTTTAGATATCTAAAAAGAATCGGGCGCATCGGTAATAACATGGCATTAAACCAAAAGTGGAACTTAGCAATACAAACGCTCGCGTAATATAAGGGCTTTAAAATTACCGCTTCGTTTGCATTCCATGTTTATTCACGAGTCTTCTCAACCGCAATAGGTAGGCAGAGAAATGCGCTTTCCCACTCTTTAATTGTGATGGATTTAACAGCGTCTAGGTACATACTATGTACTTATACATATGTACGTATTTCCGAGTATGTATCGTTGTATGTATGCATGTTCGTATCACCGAATCATTGTTGTTGATAAGTAGTTTGCGGTTTCTCGTACATCAGCAATAAATGAAGAGATTTTCCGCTTTTCAATTACTCATTTTTATTTACTCAACAACAGTATGCGCCCTGGAGATAAATACCGAATCAAAGCCGGCAATTAACAAAAAGTAAAACTGAGATTTAAGATTCAGTTATTTATTACTGCCAATTTAAGTAACATAGAGGCGCTGTTATATTGGTATCCCTTTGAATAAACTTTATGTTGTGTTCCTATATATTTGCTATGGATTGTCTGTCAGCTAATGGTCAAGCAATTCAGTTATTTTAAATATCACTTTGGACGAATAGTTTTAGTTATGTATTTTAATATTTTATTATTGTAATAAAGTAGATACATTTTCTATATCAGCATACTATCGAAACCACCAAGTTCCTCTATGTATGTAAGTTGAATAATATCAATTAACTATCAGTATAGCTCCATCTCTATACTATATTTTCTATTAACTGTCGCATTGTCCTTTTATTTATTATTCGCCGTTCAATATACATATAAGGTGTCCAGCAAAAGTAGAGGATATTTTTACCTGCACTGTCCTTATAACGTCGCGGTTCGGAGGGGTCCGGTAGGGATAGGTTCTGTACTACTTTTTGGAGAGACCATCGTGGTTATCGCGTACGTGCCTTTTATCGCAATGGTGATCCAATGATCATTGCCCAACGATCATATCGAGCTAAATTCAATGTACGGAATGCACCGAAGGACGATACCATCGGAAAATGGATTTGAATGTTCTGACACTCGAACATTCAAATCCATTTTCCGATGGTGAAAATCCCTCTCAATCAGTTCGCAAACAGAGTTAAGAACTTAACATTAAAAAATCGTC